CTCATACACCTTTCCTTCCATATCGTTCCAGCGTTTTTATGGAAGAGGGAAAGCAAAATAGCACAGCTACTCACCAATGAAAGGGGTGGGTAGGTGTTGCTTAGTTAATTGCCTAATGTTAGAAGAGCTGCCCTAGAGTCTGAGCTAGGAGATTGTGGACCCAAGAGAGGAAGGTAAGTACTGAATATTTAGCATCTTTTAATAAAGATAGCATATTCTAAACAGAAGCCTTTTCAGGAGTTAACAGAGTTCTTTCCCTTGTGCACTGAAATCCAACACAGCAAACTCCTGTGCACACTTTCTAATATTTTCTTTTGCCATGAAAATAATTCAAACCAAGGGCCCATGGAGAGGTTTGGGCCTGGAGCCACTATAAGCTGATGGTTCAGACTTCAGCTGCTTCAGTCCCACTTGCCTCCCAGGTCCCTTTCTCTCTATATTGCTTGTTCCGTTGGGTTCTCTCCAACAAAGAAGCCTTGCAGGGTTATTTTACTGATTAATAGACTAGCTTTCTACTTGCTGCTGCCAAAACTGCCTGCTGTATTTCTTCATGCTGTCACTCTGTGTTGCCTTCAGGACAAAAAAAAAAAGAGTCTAGCCCACCCTAACTGAACTTGTGCAGAGTTACTGACTTCCATGATTAAGAATTACATTTTCTACAGCAGCAAGGCCTCTAAAAGTCTCTATGGAACCAGATAGTGCACAAACCCCATTGACCCTTCTGCAGCAATTAGAGGGTGAGATCCTGGCTAACTCCTGCTGTCTCTTTCTGGATCTGCCATTGCTGAAGGGGGCTAATAATGTTCTCTTGCTTCTCATCTAACTGTGGAAGAACTCATGAAGCCATCATTGGGTGACCTACCTCACAGGATTGTTGTAAAGATTACATGAGTGGATTTGGGGGACACAGACACCATCCTGAGCTCCTTGGAGGAAAGGCAGGATAAAATTTAATTAATTAATTAATTAATTAACAAGTCAAGCTCTTTCCTTCCCTCCTCCCACATCTCAGTTTTACTGTTGTGGTGATACGATTCTGACTGACAGAAGTTCCTAAATATTTTTTATTTAATTATTTGTTTAATTCTCCCAGCCAAACTGTGTTACAAAAGTAATATTGATTATAGTATAAATGTAAATATTGAATATAAATTGCCCCTCCCCCATGAGGATATCAGGATTCAGATTACATTTCTTTAAAACATAATATAGTCTACAAGTCCAATTAAAAATCTTATATTTAGCATAATATTTGATGTCCTATAATATATAATGCTAATTTTCCCTTTACAGTGTTCATTCTTTTTTATGAAGTTCCTAAATAAGTAGTGGGACCTCTTTTTAAAATGTTGTGGTTTATCTCTTTAGGATTCCAGTCAGACCCTATCCCAACATTTCCCAAAAAGCTGTGGAGTAGAGGCAAAACTTGGTCATGGTTTAAGCAGGCCTAATTTTTTGTCTTGAGGGCAGAAATGTCCTCTGCCTGTTTTCTGCGATGTTAAGAAATAGAAAATGCTGACAAGGCCTTAGTCAAATTAAGAAAATACATCATTGTGAAGAAGTTACAATATTTTTACTCAATTGCAGCTGGCAGCTCTGAGTGACCTTCACAAGTCTCCTTGTGCCCTGATAAGGCTCAAAGACATGCCAGTTCCTCAGAACAATGGAAACCTGTTTCTGCAGGTGTCTGCCCCATGACCTTTCATTTACTGTTTTGCCTTCTCTTTAAGAAAAGGGATTTCTTGCTTTAAATTTGTCCCTTCAGGTTCGGAGCTGCTTGTAGCCATTTTCCTTCTAACTAGTCCTATGAGGCTGGGGCTTTGGTTTATGAACAATCTTAAGTTTGATATACACAATTTTCTTATTTTATTTTTGCTTATTGACTGGTGAGGTTTAAACATAAACATTTTATTATTCAGCCTTTTCCCTCCAAAAAAACATTCATCTAGATCCTACCAAAGTATCTAGAATTTATCTCTTAACACTCCTCCGAGTCCACAGAAACCTGTTCCTTTGAACCTCTGCTTGGTTGGTAGCCTTAATATTCTTTTTCTTTCCTTACTATTTAGGATAAGTTACTATAGAGCCATAGCATAGCAAAGCTCTTAACTAGTTTGGAAAGGTGAAAGTGCTAGGTGGTAAGTCAAAGAAGAGCTGAATAGTTAAAATAGTTGATAATTTTGCATGTCGTAATTATGTTTCGTCGTTTCGATGGTTTTCTCCCTTCACTGTGCCTAGATCACTTTGGTCTCAAGCTTTGCACACCTGTCACAGTTCCGCTGCTCCCTGGGAAGGACAGGTGGAGGCTGGATGCATCCTCTCCTCCCATAACTCAAAGCAATTACTCATAGCCTTGAAAATCATCCTCACCTGAGGTTCAGAGGAACAGGTGGCCTGGGAGTTGTATACTGTATTTCACTTTTGCAGCTGTTGGGTGCTCTACCACAAGTTTTACCTTGGTGTCATAGACCGACTATTTCCTAGTAAGGTTTGGACTGATGGCAGCAGTCCCCCCTTGCAGTGTGGAGGACTGGCTGCTCCCAGAAACTTGGAGAAGCCAAGGGAATGCTGAATGCTATGGGAGGATTCTCCATTACTGGCCCTGGTCTTGCTGTGTAATGGTAAGAGAAACATTAACATAGTTGCTCATGAGGGTGCACTCTCATGAGGAGAGGAGCTCTAACGGATGAAACAGGCAGGATGGTGGCTAAGGTGGTACAAATACTGTATCAAATGCAACCAAGCATAGGCAAGATTGCATAATCATGCCTACCACATAGCAGTGGTAGCACTTCTTCTTCTTAAGGAAGTTGTCCAGCAGAACTTTTCTTAGAGGTGATGGGGTTGGCGGGAACTTCCCTGAAGGGCAATAGACTGGAACCTTTTGACTCTTGTTGAGACAGGTTTGCTAGGCACTTTGATGGCAAAGTTGCTCACATCTGGGCTGAGCTTATGACAGGTCTAGTGGGGTGTCCAGAGCACTGGTCTTCAACTTGATCCAAGGTGGGTTGCAGCAGGTTCCCTCTACCACCATGCAAATATGTGGTACAAGATTACAAAATGCGTCCCCAAATGCATGTTGGGTTTAAAAGTGAGTCCTGGGCCTGAAAAGGTCTAAACTACTGGTCTGTATTGCTCTCATCTGGTTTGGGATGAGTTTTCCTTGATGAGGCTCAAGGTTGTAGACAAGATACTTTAAAGTATTTGGCCTACCACCTGAAATCTCAACCTTTGCACTTGGCTTGTGAGAGCTAGTCAAGGGGGAATGACTGTGGGTGGCTAATTCCACCTTTCAGGAAGGGAATGTGCCAACTGCTTTGGAAGAGGCAGTGCTGTATTCCTTCCTCAAGAAGACCTCCCTGAACCTGTGAGAGTATAACAGTGATGAGTTTCTTTGAGCTTGATCTGGGAGTGAAAATGGTACCTTTCGCAGAACAAAAATTACTGAGTGTGTTTCCACAGTGAGCCTACTGCTCAAATGATGCATGTCTTTATGCATGCTGAATACACCTTAATTGTACCTAGGATACCCATGTGCTTAAATATAAATGGACAGCCCTTAGCAATTTAGAGTAAACAGAATAAAAAGTGGAGAAAGCTATATATTGATGTATAGGTAGAACGGCTTCACTATTCGTATTTTGAGCACCTTAAAAATGGTGCTAGCCTTATCAGGCAGTCATATTCAACAAAATAAGAACTTAGAAGTTTAATCTAGAATTTGCTTTTTTGTTGACTGAGGTGATAACGCCAAGTTGGCTGTGTCTTTCTCAACCTACACATGTGCATATGGTTAGCCTCTCTCTCTAGCTGTCATTAAGGAAGACTTACAAGTTGGTGCTGTGTCTGCATTGCATGCAAATAGTTGTTTCCTCCTTGCTGCCAAATTTGCACCTGCTTCTAGTAAGAAAAATGTACCCAAAAATCGCCAAATCTAGTACCGTAGGCTTCAGATTTACCACCAGTCAGAATCTAAGACTGCCTAATGAATGAGTCTGCCTTTTTGCATAATGAATAGGTATGTGGGATGTAATATACACCTAAACAGACAAATAAATTGTGGGCTACCCTAAATAGTAAGCAGAATGACCCTAAATAGTAAGCAGAATGCTACCCATGGATTGGTTGTGGAGACCAACATTTGTGGCAAACAAGCAGGATCTTTGGAGATGGGATCAATCAGCAGCATTTGAAGAGTTATTGTTGCTGTTTAGAGGCAGAATTGCTCAGATTTGGACAAAATTGGATGCTACAATTTGAGCAAGTCCAATAAGGATGTCTAGAGTACTGCCTGTTCCATCTATACTGGATTAGTTTACATTATTGTAGCCTGAGGATGTGGACAAGTTGCTTTAAGAAGTGCAGCCAACCACCTGCCTCCTTGTGCCTTGCCTATCTTGGTTTCTTAGAGCTAGTCGTAGGGAGTAGACTGGGTGGGTTCAGGGACTTCACTGGAGAAGGGGTAGATGAAGGAGGCAGTGGTCTGTCCCATCCTTAAGGAGACCTCCCTGGACCCAGAAGTGTTAACAATTATTGCCATGGAGAATAGAGAGTTGCCAGTCTACTTTCAGGCCTGCTTGGAGGAAACTGATTACTTGGAGACATTCAAGTCTGGCTTTAGGTCTGCTTATGGCACTTAAGCTGCCTTAATCACCCTGGTTTATGACATTTGTCAGGAGAGATTTGAGGGGAGTATGACCCTACTCATTCTCCTCAATCTCCCAGTGGCTTTTGATACTGTTAACCATAGTTTCCTTCTGGAGCATCTCAGGGAGGAGGTGGGGCTTGAGGGCACTGGTTGCACTCCTACCTCTAGAGCTGTTTCCAGAAAGTAGATATGGGGGGCTACAGTCTGGCATGATGGGAGGTTTCCTGTGGTGTCTGTCCCACTGGATTTCATCTTGCCCCAATGCTATTTAACATTTATATGAGGCTTCTGGGAGCTGACATTAGGAGATTTTTGGTGAAGTGCCATTAATAAGCAGATGGCACCCAGATTCTATTTTTTTAAAAAAATAATTTTTTATTAAAGTTTTAAACAACAAAACAAGAAAAACAACACACACAAAAAACAATACAAAACTTAACAATAAAAACACAAAACACAACAATTAAAAACAAACTCTCTTTTCCATTTCCAATTTTAAATTATTTTCTAGACTTCCTCAAACCTCCCTCTTTTGTATTCCAGTCCACATTATTTGTCCAGCAGTTTCTTTTCCACTTTTTTAATCCCAATCTTTAATTTAATAAAATGTTAAAATATATAACTTCAACTTTTTTAAACCTAATCCTTGATCTTAATATCATATAACTTTAAAATTTTCCCTTTTAATATCAAATTTCCATTTCTTTAAACATCTTTAATCTTGATCTTTAATCTTAATCTATCCTTAACTTTAACCTGTGCAGCTGGAAACCACTTGTTTTCAGTCCAACATCACTCTAACATTCCTTAATTTTACAGTGTTTCTGAAGATAGTCTTTGAATTTCTTCCAGTCTTCCTCCATCGACTCTTCTCCCTGGTCACGGATTCTACCAGTCATTTCAGCCAATTCCATATAGTCCATAAGTTTCATCTGCCATTCCTCCAGCGTGGGAAGTTCTTGTGTCTTCCAATACTTTGCGATGAGTATTCTTGCTGCTGTTGTTGCATACATAAAGAAAGTTCTATCCTTTTTAACACCATTTGGCCGACTATGCCCAGGAGAAAGGCCTCTGGTTTCTTAGGGAAGGTATACTTAAATACCTTTTTCAATTCATTATATATCATTTCCCAGAAAGCCTTAATCTTTGGGCACGTCCACCAAAGGTGAAAAATGTACCTTCAGTTTCTTTACATTTCCAACATTTGTTGTCGGGCAAATGATAGATTTTTGCAAGCTTGACTGGGGTTATGTACCACCTGTATATCATTTTCATAATATTCTCTCTTAAGGCATTACATGCCGTAAATTTCATACCTGTGGTCCATAACTGTTCCCAGTCAGCAAACATAATGTTATGTCCTACGTCCTGTGCCCATTTAATCATAGCCGATTTTACCGTTTCATCTTGAGTATTCCATTTCAGCAGCAAGTTATACATTCTTGACAAATTCTTAGTCTTGGGTTCTAACAATTCTGTTTCTAATTTGGATCTTTCCACCTGGAAGCCAATTTTCCTGTCCAATTTAAATACCTCCATTATTTGATAATAATGAAGCCAGTCTCGCACTTTGTTTTTTAGTTTTTCAAAACTCTGCAATTTCAGTCTATCTCCGTCTTGTTCCAAAATTTCCCAATATTTCAGCCATTTGACCTCCATATTGACCCTTTTCAAGGCTTTCGCTTCCATTGGTGACAGCCACCTTGGGGTTTTATTTTCTAGCAAATCCTTATATCTTATCCAAACATTAAACAGCGCTTTCCTGACAATGTGGTTTTTAAATGCTTTATGTGCTTTGACCTTATCATACCATAAATATGCATGCCATCCAAATACATTATTAAAACCTTCTAAATCCAAAATGTCAGTGTTTTCAAGAAGTAGCCATTCTTTCAACCAGCAAAAAGCTGCTGATTCATAGTACAGTTTAAGGTCTGGCAGGGCAAATCCACCTCTTTCCTGGCACCCAGATTCTAGTCCATTTGAATATGGAGAGGAGGTTGAGATCTTAGACTGGTGCTTGGAAACTCTTATTGTGAGGACACCAGCATGCCCAGGTGAGTGTGTTACCTGTCTATAATTGATATCAACAGTCAATATAGGAGTAGATGAGAGATAATCAGTGGTGGCCTAGTATTGGGCTTGGACACCCTCACACACCCCACTACACCTGAGAAGCTGGTGCGATTCCAGGTATCTTAAGGTTACATCCCTTTGTTTTTCAGCCCCATTGATACTGAAAGCTCAGGGTATTCTGATTCCCTTCTGTTCCCAAAAGGGCATGGCACCCTAGCTTGCCAATTCACTTTCGAAGAGTCTTCCTTTGAAACTTACACCACCCTGTAAGTTTCACCCTGGCAATAGAGCTAATAAGCCTTTAAAATCACTCATTTATTCAAGGGGAGTTGGGTGGACTCACTGATGGGGTGAGATGGTGGAAAAAGCCAATATGGTTTGTTTTGTGTTCTTGTATAGATCAGATTGTGACCTCAAAGAGTTTTACATCAAAACACAACCTATCAACAGAAATCATACACAAAGAAACCTGTTTATCACAAAGGACACCTCAATCCCATTGTGTGTATGTCTGAGTACGGAGGGCGACTCCTCTTCTCTGGGCCTCTGTGTCTGTCCTGCTACTTTCGGACGCGCTTTGCCTGTATTTCTCTATGTGCATCTTTACAGGACGCGTGACTGCGTCTCTCCACGACAGAGTCTCAGAGCGTGTGCTTCGCTGGGTGTGTGTGTATACACACGTACGTCTGTGTACACGCGCGTGTGTAGCTCTCTCTTCCGCGGAAGTGTCTTGCCACTTGGTTGGTGGTTCCGCGAGTGCGTTATGTGGGAGCCTCCTCTCTGCTCCCTGGGCAGACAGTGCGCGCCTTTCTTGTCCCGTTTCGCCCCCTCCCGGCCCTCTGTCGGAGAAGAGGGTGGGTGGTTGGGTGGCGGTGGCGGGGAGAGATCTGTGCGCCCGAGGCGGGTGAGGAGACTGAAGGGGGGACGGGGGCGGAGTCAAGGCTGCTCCTGCTGTCTGGGCTTGATGGATGAGACGGGGGCTCCCGATGTGTGTCTTTGAGAGCGAGGCAGCGAGACGCGAAGGCAACGCGTGTTCCTGTGCTTAACCCTCCCGGGCGGCCGGAGCTTCTTCCTCCTGCGACCCGGACAGGCGACGAAGGCGCGAAGTGGAAGCAGCAGCAGCCGGGGTCGCCCGCCTGCGCCAGAAGGCAGCCTCTCCACGCCGCCTCGGCGAGCGCACCGTGCGATCATGTGCGGGGCAGCCCCTCGCTAGCCAGCGCAGGCAGCATGGCTCCCGTGAAGCGAGCGGCGTCGGGCGGCGTGTGGCTGCGGGCGGGAGCCTGCCTCTTGGCCTGGGCGGCCTTTTGCCGGGTCCGGGCGAGCGCCTGTCCCGCGCCGTGCGCCTGCAGCGGCACCACCGTCGACTGTCACGGGCTGGGGCTCCGCAGCGTCCCCAAGAACATCCCAAGGAGCGCAGAAAGGCTGTAAGTGCTGGGGGGGGCGGGGCGGATCGCGGGTCTCGGAGGGGGAGACGTTTGCGACCCCGGGGGGTCCTGGGGGTGGCCCCTCTCTCGGGTAGGGGCTCCGCCGGTGCCGGCCGCCACACCCCCTCTCCCGCCCTCACAATGGAGCCCCGCCGCTTAGGATGTGCCACCGCGAGACGCGCTCAGACGGTCCGAGATGGGGGGCAGACAATGATCCCTCTGGGGGAAGTCGGGACGTGGGGAGGGAGTTGGGTCGGGCTGAGGCAGCCGCCGCAGATCCCTTCGGAGTCTCCGGGAACAATCACTCGATTGCCTTTGTTAGGGAACTGCGGCGCGCGCCCGTGCGGGTGTGCCCCCCTCCCAAACCATTGGGTGGGTGTGTAACGTCTCCCCAACCCACCCCGCCTCTCACACGTGCACCAGAGTCCGGTGGCCTGCAGGTCTGGGTCAGGTTTAGAGCAGCGCGGGTCGGGGGAGGGGGGATTCCTGCTGGGCGCGATCCGGCCGTTGCGCTGCGCCTCCTTGCAGCGCGTGAGATGCCCGGGACCAGGCTAACTTTAGCTGCACGAGCTGGCTGCTCGACGAGGTTCCAGAAACGGGGAGCACGCACCGTGGACGCGTATGTGTGTGCTGGCGCGTTCACGCGGGTGTGAATCTCCTGTGGGCCGGCTGGCGGGGGCTGCTTATTTTCTCCACTTATCTGCATGCAGTGTGTGTATGTTTGTTCGTGTTCTGTCCGCTCTAGTAAGACTCTCTGGGGAAACTGCCTCCTCTTCTGTGGAGCTAGATGGATGCCTTTTTGGGGGCCCTTCCTTGGAAATGGGAGCTTAGGAGTGAGAGGAGAGGGTCAAGTCCTCTTTAGGAGCGTAGCCCCCTTTCCTACCCCTTGTATCACTGGCCACTCCACGTAAGTGTATTTGACACGATAAGGGTGCACCCACGCTATACATTTATTTCCCCCAAACAATCATGGGAACTGCAAATTGCATACCCCGAGCTACAATTCCCAGCACCCTTAGCAAACTACAGCTCCCAGGATTCTTTGAGGGAAGAAATGGGCTTGAACTGTGGATGCGACCTTTGAGACAGAGGAGCTCTGTGGAGCAGGAGGAGGTGGGTGTGGAAGATGGAATCTGGACCATGGAGTCTTGAGCGTCCCTTGCCGCCTCTTCCAAACCCCTACAGGAGGGGGCTTGCTGTCTCTAACCAAGCCTGCAGCCCTGGTGGCTGTCCTTTCCCATCTCTCCCTTTGCCCTCTCTTTCGACAGTTCAATGAGGGGTGAAGAAAGAGGATCCATGGGGGGGGGGGAGCAGAAATCCTCTCCCCATGATCAACCCTTCCCACTCAGGCAATATCCATGGCAAAAGCGGAATACCAGGCAGATAAAGGGGATATCAATTGGGGAGGGGTTTGAACATGGGGTGGAAGAGACAGACAAGGGAATGGCAGCCCAGGCACTCTGTGTGCCTTTCATCTCTGCATGTGAGGTTCTGAATTATCCAGAATAAAGGCAGGAGGGGAGGGGAGGGAATGGGAGCTCAACTGGAACAGGGGCTGATCATTAACACACACAGAGACCCCTCCTCATTACACACTTACTTAATGCTGGCTGGAATGCTCCTCATTCCTCCGCAGCAGCAGCAGCAGCCTGACGGTGTCCATTGCTTTGGTGGGGGGTGCAAAGGGAAGTAAAAAGCTGGAGGGGATGCTAAATAATTCACCAGAATGCAGCACTGGAACGTGCTGTTTAGGCTGGGGGGAAACAAGGGGGCTGAGTGGTTGGATTTATTGCAGTCAAGCAGGATATTCCCTCCTTGCACCTCTTAAGGCCTTGCGATTCTTTCCGTTTCTTTTCTGCTTTTACGCAGAAAGCAGCTTGAAACGGAACGGACAAAGTCTGTAGGAGAGAGTCAGGACCCTTGAGCCTGCCTTGCAGCTCCTGTGCAATTGCTGTCTGGGCTCCCCCAGAGCCTCTGCTCAAGCCCCTTAGTCTCTGTTCCTAGCCTCCCTCCAGCCTCCCCCAACCTGGCGCTCTCCAGATGGCTTGGACTACAACTCACGTCAGCCCTGGACAAGCACAGCTTGTTGCGGTCCCAAACATCTGGAGGGGGAGGAAGGCTGACCTACTGCTCTCCCCACCACCCAATTTGCTGTCTCTTGATCTCCTCTGAGGAATGTCTCCCTCTGTCGCCAGACAGGCTGGGACGGGGCTTCATGTGCAGGATACTCTTTCAGATTTATGCTTGACTGCAGGGTAACCTAGAAAAGAATGGGGGTGGCATGTGGTGTAAAATGTGAATGTGGAAGATTCCTATGAGCATCAGGTGCAGCAGAAACTTGGTGGGCAGGGGGTGCCTCCCTAGCTACCCAGAGAGATGCTGAACCTGAAGTTAAGCAACTTTGCATAAAAGGCAGTACCACGAATATTCTCGCAGCGGGTAAATATAGCAGTTTGATTTAGATGTAGCCCTTTTCCTGGTCTCTTGTGAGGGTAACATCTTGTCTCTGGTCAGCATGGTTCAAGACAACTCCACACCAAGGCACCAAAGCTTTCCTGCTTCTGGATATCATCTTTGCTCTCGTCTGAGCTCATTATTGGGCCAGGCATGGGGATATGATCCATCTACCCAGCTCCAAGTGCGGCAGTGCAGTGGGAGCACAACAGCCCACCCTCCCCTTGAAGTACTGCAGATTCTAAGAGTTTCAGAAGCCATATCCCAGGCGCTAAGGCAGGCCTGGTCCGTTGTGTGTCGTGAGGATCTCCTACAAGGCAATCCACCCATTCCTATTCTCATTTCTTCTACAAACCAATTAGTGCCCTCAGAGTGAGCCTAATTAGGTCAGGGCCCTGTAGATGCTCCTATGCACAACAAAGCAAGCTTGGTGAACTCAGTTAGTAGCACCGCGGGACACTTTCTTTAAAAGGGCACCTTCTTTAACAGCATTTCCTTCTCTGGCACCTTAATTACCTTCATTGAAGTTGTTATCATGGCACAGCCATGGGGAGCTGCTTTGTGAGTGTAGAATGAGGGTGCTGCCCACAAGCACGGAACTTGGCTCAGATCTGAAATGCCAGAACACCAGGAAGGGCTACCATTCCTGTTTTGACAAGAGGGACCTCAATTGTCACTCACAGTTGGAGCACTACTTCTCATGGTCATCCTGCTTCAGAGGTGGGGAATCTTTTTGGCCAAGAGGGCCAGATTCTTTACCTGTCTC